AGAGAAGCCATAGACGACCGCACCAACACCACAGCAAGGAATCACTCCACGAGCCAACGCCACAAGCCCCAACACGCGCTGAATGCTAGAGTTTAGAGCTCGTCTCTGAGTTAACGGAAAACTCTGAAGCGAAGACATAGAGGAAGAGAAGCCCGCGTTCCACCAAGACACCAAGGTAGAACATACCGAACCACATCCAACACCATACCTCAGACCAAACAGAGTCAAAAACCAGTGGAACCTGAGCAGAGGAGAGCCAAAAATGCGTCTCCACGCGTAACCACCCTTACAGGGGCTAAAAGCACCACCTGTGAAACCTTAAAATCCGACTTCCCCGACGGAATCTTCACACGTCTCGCACCAGACCTCCAACTCCTGGTTGAATAGTGCCAGAAACAAGGCAGGGGTGAAGATGACGCGCCACCAGATCCACAAGTCTGAGCAAGGCATAGAGAGCGAGAGGATCCATGGAGAAGCAAATAGAAAGCGAGGGAGAAGAAAGAATGGAACGAGTCGAGCCGGACGGTCACGTAACGCTCTCACGCGCTGAGACGCGCCGCCGGTCGGAGGGAGATGGAAGGACGCATTAATTTGTTCGAGAGGATAAGAATGAGAGAAAGGGAGTTTTTTTCGTTTCCTTTCCTTTTACTCATTTTTCTTTCGTACACAAAGCATATTCTTTTTTGGGAAAAAGATTCAGAACTTATAATCTACAAGTTCTTTTTGTTGATGAAATAGATTTAGTATAAAATACATTGGATATACCGGTTATGTACTATAAACCGGTTTACTAGTCTTTACTATATATATATATATATATCAAATGTAAATGACTTGGTTAAGATGAGATTAATTATATCTGTAACAATCTCTATCTTCAACCTTGAGCTCAAGCTTAGATTCTCTGGTTCTAATATGGTATCATAGTTCTTACTGTATCTTCTGCTTCTTCATGTTGAACCAGAGCATCAATTCAAGCTTATCGTCATCGTTATTCATAGATACGAGCTTCAGATTTCTCAAATCCGATTTGAATCGTCGTTTTTCGATTTAGGGTCCATTTCATGAACCAACAATAGAAGGATATAAATAATTTCTTACAATAATGAACGATTGTACTAGAGCTACATGGGTTTACTTACTCACAAATAAAAGTTCTGTTATAACAATATTTTTTTAATTTGTTGCGCTTATTGAGACACAATATCAAAAGAAGATCAAAGTTATCCGTACTGATAATGCTCATGAGCTCTCTTTCACTTCTTTTCTCAAAACCAAAGGCATTATCTATTTATTTTCTTGTGTCTACACCCCTCAACATTCTTTCTTTTCTTTTCTCAAAACCAAAGGCATTATCTATTTATTTTCTTGTGTCTACACCCCTCAACATAATTATGTTGTTGAAAGAAAACACAAACACATTCTTAATGTTGTTAGAATCCTTCTTTTTCAATCAAACCTTCCTTTACATCATTGGGGAGATTGTATTCTCACTTCAATTTATCTCATAAACTGAACCCCATCTCCTTTTCTTCAAAACAAGTCACCTTTTGACCTTGAAACCAATAACGTTTCCATTACTCCTAATGTTGTGTTCCATGAGTCTTTCTTATAGGTGAGAGATATATATGACCATACCTCCAGGCTATTCTCAGCTGATTGGCAAGACATTTCCTAAAAAATCTGTCTGTAAACTTCAAAAATCCTTATATGGTTCGAAGAAGACAACTAGGCAATGGAATCATAAGCTGTCTAGTGTTATTCTTGCAGAGGGTTTCAAACAATGTCCATCTGATCATTCTTTGTTTGTGAAATGCACTTCTCAACTGTTTATCGCAATATTGGTATATGTTATCTACATATTGCTAGTTGGGAATGATGATGTTGCTATTGAAGCTTTTAAGTATGCTTTTAAGCTTCATGATCTTGGTCCAACTAAGTATTATCTTGGATTCAAAATAGTGCGGAACAAGAATGGCATTTCCATAAATCAACACAATTACACTTTGGAACTTATTGAAGATGCTAGCTTACTTGGGTGCCTCTCTCGGTACCAATGGAACCTAATCTCAAAATGTAAAGTTCTGATGGTGATTTACTTTTTTGAAACTTCAGTTTATTGACGGATTATGGGTCGACTTCTCTACTTAATTCACACACGACCTGATATTACTTATGTTGTCCATAAACTGAGCCAATACATGTCTGCTCCAAGATCTGTTCATTTACAAGATACAAATAGGATTCTCAAATATCTGAAGAGTGATCCAGGCCAAGATCTTTTTTTATTCTGCTTCACCTGACTTGCAGTTCACAACTTTTCCAGTGCAGACTAGGCTGCGTGTCCAGTTTCTCGTCGTTCAACCACTGGATATTGCATTTTTCTTGGTGATTCACTCATCTCTTGGTGTTGCAGAAAACAACCAAATGTTTCAAGTAGTAGTTCCGAGGGTGAAAACAGGACCATGGCTGACACTACTTGCAAGCTAGTGTGGTTGACTTCTTTGCTTACTGCTTTACATTGTCCTCCACAGACATCTGCAACTCTCTTATGTGATAATCAGTCAGCATTACACATTGCTTTGAATCCAGTATTCCACAAATGTATTAAACATATTGAAAATGACTGCCATGTGGTTCGTGAATGCTTGCAGAGTGGATTCGTGAAGACATTACATGTTCAGCCAACAATCAGTTAGCTGGCATTTTTACAAAGGTTGTTCAACCTGGTTTGTTCAAGTCTTTGTTGTCCAAGATGGAAATTTACAAGTTGTATCTTCCATCTTGATTCTCGAGGGAGGGATATTGGATTATGTTGGTTATGTATTATGAATCGGTTTATTGGTATTTACTATATATAGCTCTCAAATATGACGTTGGTTAGGATGAGATGAATAACATTTGTAACAAACTCTATCTTCAACCTCAAGTTCAAGTTCAGCTTCTCTGGTTCTAACAAAATATGAAAGAGAATCAAACATTGCTAGAAGAGACACATAAGAATCTAACTAGAACTTCTTCTTAGTGAGAACATCAAAAGAAAAGAAAAAGACTGCGTAATATATACAAGTAGTAAGAGATGCCTTATGCTGTTATGCACATGATACATAAATATATACAAGTAAATAAGAATAACTCGCCTTGAAAAAGATTCTTTGGAAGACATCAATATCAGTAGCAGTGGTGATTGCATTAAGAGGCTGTCCTTGCAAACCTTGGCTCACCAAAGAGTACGCAAATCCAGACCCTAATGATGCTACCACACTCTGAATGTCATACAATTATTCTCTAACACAAGCATACAAGTAAATGCCTTGGAAATTGAGACTTACGCAGATTCAAGATCCTCACTGCCTCTAATACGTTTCATTACGCACGCTATTCCAGTGTTTACACCAGTAATGGCAGCCAAAGTTCCGAGCTTGGACCTATGGCACACCCAAATCCTGAACTTACTTTAGCATGGGTTTAAATACAGAAGAAACAACACTTTAATATGATAGAACAAAAGATCAACCATCAAATAAGAATATGCACAGTTTTCCAATTTAAAGAAAGCAACTTAAGTCATAACAAGCTGAAAGGCAGCTAGACCAACTTATATGCTTGATTCGCAAAAGAAAAGCTGTACTTTAATAGCAAGGGGTATCAACGGAAACAACGAGACTCAGTTTATAGACCAAAATGATGCAGTTTTTGGTCCAGAAGATCACAGAGCCCACAAAGACAGTCCAGGCCCAACCCAAGGTCAATGAGATTCAAACTCGATCCAGTCAAAGGAACTCTGCAATGGTTAGCTTGAGTGAAGACAAAAACAGAGCTGGCGAAGAGAAAAGTAGCGGAAAGCAGATAGCGACTGGAAGTATGAAACCGTGTGGTCCTGCTTTGTACAATTCATTTCAAGCCCTTGGATCGATAGGAGAAGAAGGTTGAAGACACGTCGATAGTAAACTAGGGCTTTCATCAATTGCTATAGAAAGCTTGTATTGGATCATTGTAAACCTTAAGAAACAAGAATCAAAATTATCACTTTTCAGAAACTTATTTCTTCAACTTTCATGGTATCACTTTTCAGAAACTTATGTCTTTCAACTGAGGCTCGTTGTTTCTGTTGAAAAAGTGGCTTTGGGTTCTCTAGTGGTCAGGCACATCCCAGCTCGGCTCCAGCTAGCCGACATCTTCACAAAGTCCCTTCCGATAGCTGCATTTCAAAGTCTGAGATTCAAACTAGGCATCGTTCAGCTTCCTACGCATAGTTTGAGGGGGGGGGGGTATCAACGGAAACAATGAGCCTCAGTTTAAAAACCAAAACGATGCAGTTTTGGTCCAGAAGATCATAGAGCCCACAAAGACATTCAGGCCCAACCCAAGGTAAATGAGATTCAAACTCGATCCAGTCAAAGGAGCTTTGCAACGGTTAACTTGAGTGAAGACAAAAACAGAGCTGGCGAAAAGAAAAGAAGAGGAAAGCAGATAGCGACTGGAAGTACGAAACCGTGTGGTCTTGCTTTGTACAATTCATTTCAAGTCCTTGGATCAATAAGAGAAGAAGGATGAAGACACGTCGATAGTAAACTAGGACTTTCATCAATTTCTATATAAAGCTTGAATTGGATCATTGTAAACCTTAAGAAACAAGAAATCGAAATTATCACTTTTCAGAAACTTATTTCTGCAACTTTCAAGAGGCACATGTCACTTGTTTACATTTCTGTAATATATGATATAATACATCTACTTTAACATTTTCCTCAAGAACCAAACAACAAATATGTTCTTTACATTGCAGTCATATTTTTATCAAGAGGACTGAGAAATATTCTACAGGTCGACTGACAAACCAAACTGATTCATTACCTTGAAGAACCTGTCCTAATAAACTTATCAATGGTATCTCGTAACAGTTGAGGCTAAACCGAAATAAAGGCTGCCTCTACCACTTTGTCCAGAAGACACACCAACTGTGAATTAAAAGAGCACCAGCGAAACCTGAAAAAAGCTTGTGCTATTCTTCTACTTCACCAAGTTATATTTAAATAAGAAACGTACAGAATAGAGCAGCAGAATCATGAAGTCTCTCCTAAGTTAGAACTACTACATAGAGTTCAACAATACTAAGATATAATGCTCCTTCATACAGATAACGGGAGCTACAACTCATCTCCCCGGAAGAGCACATAGATAAACATCCTTATTAAATAGTTGTCCAAAATTGAAAAAAAAGAAAGTAAGATATTATTCTCTCAGAGATATAATAGATCTCTAATTCATCTCCATTCCATCTCCAACCTGGCTACAGATTGGGCTCACGGCAGCAAAAGACCTCTCGAAAGGAGAAGAATGAAACTGAGCGTCACGTCGACGACGCTTAACACAGCTTTCAGAGGGTTGACTCTCATCATCAAGCTTCCTCCTGACTCCTTTAACCGCCTGCTCCTCAGCCGGTGAGAGTGGGAATATCCGGCCACTGGCTCGGCACAAAGAGTTGTGGTTATCATACAGGATCCTTTGGTTACAGTTCTTGTCACATACATGGTTTAAACCAGTTAGCTTGCAACGGTACATATTCCCACAGACATTCTCGTTCTCGCATTTCCAGTCACATCTGTGACATGGGTTTGGTCCATCGCGACCTAGTAACGCAGACAAGTAAATAACATTGGCGGAACCGACCACGGGTGAGTTTCCAAATACCTCCATTGATTTTGTCAAAGCTCTAACGTTGTCTCCACACTCTGCATGAAACGATCAGATCAATTCAATTTTATTCCACAAAGATACATATAAGCTCACTTACTATAACCTTAACAATCACATGCCATGAAAAGTATATATCCTAAAACTGAAATCGATTCATTTTACTCTTTATTATTATCCTAATCAGAACGAGATTAATTGCACAAAATCAATCAATTAGACCTCATAGCGGTAGATAAATATATAGAGAAAGAAATGTATGACAGCTGAAATTCTGATTGAAAATAACCGAAACAAAAACAATAATATAGAACTTTTTGATCTTTAACTAAATAGACAAATATACAGAGTCGACATGAGAGGTTCCAGCAAGAAGATGAGAGAGAGAGAGAGAGAGAGAGAGAGAGAGAGAGAGAGAGAGAGAGAGAGAGAGAGAGAGAGAGAGAGAGAGAGAGAGAGAGAGAGAGAGAGAGAGAGAGAGAGAGAGAGAGGCATACCTGTTCAGAGGTTAAAGAAGATCCGTAAACCTAGTTAATTTGGAGCTATATGGTAGCTGGAGAACAGAGTGATTGAAGAAGAAGACAATGGAGAAGTACTTATAAATCAGACATGTACTGTCTTCTTACGGATATAATGTAACTCCGTTAGCAAACAAACGGTTCCACTTACTGGGGCCTACCTCATCTACTTTTTTTTTCCACTTCATATTATTTATTTTATATCTTCATTCTTATTTTAAACATTTACACCCATGTTTGTCGCTCATTCATTAACTTCTCTCCGTTTATTTTTGTATTTTACTTGGCGGTGAAAGAGGTGGGATTCACGTGGCACTCGGTTAATTGCTAGATTTTTAGATCTATCTGTTTATTACAAATGAATCATATCTTCTCTTTCTTACATGCGGATATTTATATGGCACGGCCGCATGGGCAGTAAATGCTACTCCTTTATAAAAAAATCCTTTATTTTAAATTAATAGATGAATTTATTTTTAATGTATAATGCTAAACTATTTTTTTAAGTATATATAATGCTAAATGATCAAAAATACAACATTTAACTAACAATTCTGATATAAATAATTAATAATAATTCTTTTTAAAGAAACTTTGATTTTATAATTTGTTATTATTATTAATGAAAGATATACAAAATTTTTCAAAAGTAACTTTCAGAAAAATGATAAAAAGTGAATAATATTTTTGTTTAAACATCAAATTTAATGTAATTTTTTTTACCACGGATGTGACAGTTTAGTTAGTTTAAGCATATGTGTTGGTGTTGTTGTGTTCTTGGGTTTGATCATCATGAAAAGAATGCTTTACACCATAAATGATATTAACAAAGGCTGGCTCCGGATCCAAGGAAGATTAAAATTCACGAATCAAACTTCCTTGGAAATTAAAAAAAAAAGTTTAATGCAATTTTTTCCTTTAAGAAAATTGTATAAGTAACATTATTTTACCAAAATTGATATTATTTTTTTGACATCAAGATAGAACAGACTCATGACGACTCTGCAAACCAAACTGAGAGCTCTGAATCCATGTGTATGATGAAGGTCGGTTGTTCCCGTGAACTGCGTGCCAGACCATCTGCTCTTGAGTTTATATGTAAACTATTCATCCTCCCAACACTACAAGAAAACGATTTTTTAACTAGGAAAATATTTCCTCGTAACATTACGAGAACTTTACTAGGAAACAATGGTTCCACGTAGTTTCCTCGTAAAGTCCTAGTACTATTACGAGGAAACTACGTGTCTTTTCTGGTTTCCTCATAATCTCCTAGTTAAGCTTAACTAGGACTTTACGAGGAAATATGATTTAGCAAGAAAATAGTGAGGCTTCGTTTATTTTCAATTTAAAAACGTGTATTGTACCTATTTTTCCTTGTAAATTTCTAGTAAATATCTATCTACCAAATCAAAAATTTCTATAAATACGACCTTTTGTGATTAATTTCAAACACGCCAAAAAACAATCAGCTATAAGCTTGAAAGAAAAAAAATGTCTGGTCCTGGAAATATTTTCGAGTTACGGAGGTGGATGTATACACACAGAGATAATAACGAGAGAGTGACGAAAGAATTTCTCAGAGGGTTGGAGACATTTATGCATCAAGTAGATTCTACACCGTTCACGTAGGAAAGCGGTAAGATGTTATTTCCTTGTCGGAAATGCAACAATACAAAATTAGGCCCTCGTGAAAATGTTTGGAAGCATTTAATAAATAGAGATTTCATGCCACAATACTATATTTGGTATCAACATGGAGAAGATTATAGTTGTAGGAATGAAGCTAGCAGTAGTAATAACAATTTTCATGAGGATGAACTGGTCGTTGATCATTTGCTAATGAAAATAGTTATCACCAGGAGGAACAGATGGTAGATTGTGATAGGGTTCATGATATGGTAGGTGATGCATTTGTAACTCATGATGATGAAGTTGAAGAACCTAACTTAGATGAAAAAAAGTTTTATGAAATGTTAGAAACTGCGAACGAGCCAATTTACAATGGTTGTAGAGAATGTCTCTCTATATTTTCGTTGGCTGCTAGAATGGTGAGTATTAAACCGATCACAATCTAACTGAAAATTGAATGGATGCATGAGCAGACTTGTTTAAAGAGTATTTGCCAGAAGACAATGTGTCTGCTGAATCTTATTATGAGACTCAGAAATTGGTTTATAGTCTTGGGTTGCCCTCGGAGATGATAGAGTTTGCATTGACAACTGCATGATATACTGGGGAGATGATGAACAGTTAGAAGAATGTTGATTCTGTAAGAAGCTATGATTCAAACCGCAAGGACAAGGACGAAATAGGGTACCGTACCAAAGGATGTGGTACCTACCAATCACAGACAGATTGAAAAGATTGTACCAATCTAAGGAGACTGCTGGAGGGATGAGATGGCACGCCGAGCATACTCAGACGGATGGGGAGATGACTCATCCATCAGACGCAAGAGCTTGGAAACATTTTAACTATGTACATCCACATTTCGCTCGCAATAGCCGGAATGTGAATCTTGGATTATGCACTGATGGATTTAGTCCATTTGGAATGTCTGGGAGACATTATTCATTGTGGCCAGTCTTTCTTACGCCGTACAACCTGCCACCGGAGATGTGCATGCGACGAGAGTTTCTATTCTTGACCATATTAATACCTGGCCCAAAGCATCCAAAAAGATCTCTCGATGTTTTTCTACAACCACTGATAAAAGAGTTGAAAGATTTGTGGTCAACAGGGGTAAGTACATAGGATTGTTCAATGAAAACGAATTTTACGATGCGAGCGATGCTTTTGTGGACCATAAATGACTTTCCTGCATATGGGATGTTGTCTGGATTGACTACACATGGGAGATTAGCTTGTCCATATTGTAATGGAATGACAAATGCGTTTCAGTTGAAGAATGGTAGGAAGACAACTTGGTTTGATTGTCACCGTCGATTTCTTCCCCTTTACCACCCATAACGAAGAAATAAGACATTGTTCAGACAAAAAATGGTGGTCAGAGACAGTCCTCCTCCATATTTATCAGGAGAACAAAATGAAGCGCACATCGATTACTACTGTGCACTAGAAACAACCTCTCGTGGTGGTAATTGGCATGTTCCCAATAATATGCCAGATTCTTATGGTGCTCAGCACAATTGGCACAAGAAGAGTATATTTTGGGAGTTGCCATATTGAAAAGATCTTCTTTTGCGCCACAACCTCGATGTGATGCATATAGAGAAATTTTTTTTTTCAGAACATCGTGAACACTGTATTGAATGTCCCAGGGAAGATGAAAGACAACATAAAATCGAGGTTGGACTTACTCGATATCTGCTCAAGAAGTGAGTTACATATAAAAAGCAATGGGCAAGTTCCAGTTCCGATATTCAGACTGTCATCAGAAAAAAAGTCAGTGCTGTTCAACTGGGTGGCTTCAGAAGTGAAGTTTCTTGATGGGTATGTTTCAAATCTCTCAAGATGTGTTGAGAAAGGTCAAAAGTTCTCCAGGATGAAGAGACATGATTGCCATGTCTTTATACAACGATTACTTTCTTTTGCATTTGCGGAGCTACTACCAACAAAAGTACATGAAGCACTTGCAGGTAATATAATACGCAAACATTAATTAATTTCTTTATATATATGTACATATAAATATGATTATACTAATGTGTTTAATTTTTGTAATATATAAGGAATTGGAGCATTTTTCAGGGATATGAGCACACACATTCTTAAAGAAGATGTTGTTCAACAACTTCATGAGAACATCCCCATCTTAATGTGCAACTTGGAGAAACTATTTTCGCCGACATTTTTTGACGCCATGGAGCACCTAGTTGTCCACCTCCCGTATGATGTGTTGCTTCGTGCACCTGTACATTACGGATGGATGTATCAGTATGAAAGGGCCATGAAAACGTTAAAAGGAAAAGGCAAATACCTCGAAAAAATTGAAGTATCTATTCTTGCGGGAAGTTTGACGGAAGAAACATCAAATTTGACATCGTACTACTTTGCACCGAAAGTACGTACAAGGAAACGAGCTCCAAGAAGATATGATGATGGTGGTGTCGTGCCGATATATGGAAAAATATGTTCCAGACATCTTTTGTCAAATTGGGCGATTGGGTTTGAAATTGAAGGAGGTTTGGTGGTCGAGTGATGAAGACGTCCATAGTGCACACATTTATATTATTCTCAGTTCCGAGCATCCATTGATTCGTTATTTTGAAAGGTAAACATATAAACACATTCATACACATTTATATATTTTCAATTGATTAATTAATATAACATAATTTTACAGCGAATTTGTGACTCAAGTCGAAGAAGCAATCCTGGATATATCGACAACTGAGTTAAGCACAAGGAAAGATCAACACTTTATCAAGTGGTTGAGGAAACATGTATTATAACTTAAATTTTAATGCATTCATCTCTGATAGTAAGTTTAATTTCACGTAAATGTGATTTTTTTTGCAGGTTGATTATGACGATCCCGCTTATCCTGCGTGGTTTCGTGAATTACTGTAAGGTCCAGTTGCAAAGGTCACCACATCATCGATGTATTTCACACGAGGCTATACTTTTCATACATATGACTATGGTAGACACCGGGCGACAACTAATTATGGAATATATGTGAAAGGCGAAACAGATTTCTACGGGATCTTGCAGGAGATTTATGAAGTTCAATTCCCAGGATCATTGAAGCTGAAATACATCATCTTCAAGTGCGAGTGGTTCGACCCCGTTGTCAACAGAGGTGTTCGGATTAACAAATTCGGTGTAGTTGATGTCAATGGTGGACAAAGGTACAACAAATTCGAGCCTTTCATATTAGCTTCACAAGCGGACCAAGTTTGCTTCATTCCATTCCCTCGAATGACAACCTCAGCAATAAATTGGTTAGCTGTTATCAAAGTTACACCACATGGACGAATAATCGCTGGAGAAGAACCACCATTACAAGAGGAACACACCAATCAAATCTAGGAACCTGAAGCACAAATTGATGAAATCCTACTCATCG